GTCATTGTGCCGTGATAACTTTGGCCTTTGTGGCGTCTTAATTAAGTTAAACATACACCTGGAAGTCTGCTTACAGTGATTGCACCCACTCCTGTTCACAACTGTTTGACGTACTTGTTCGTAGTCCGCAGCACAGATGTTCGATTCGTAAAAGGTTGAAAACAATTGGGCCGCCATACTTGTAAAACAGCGGCACATTTCGCGGATCGTCTTTAGTAATACAAGGATTCGGCTTTTCGCACTATCTGATGACACAATTGCCACTACATTCACAATTCTTATCGAGAAATGAACAAAAGTAATTTCAGACGAGTTAAATTTAATTGAATGTGTGGCGAAACGGCCTATAAAGGTATTAAACTTTTTTAGCATTGCTGAGCTGGTTTGTGCACTCTTAAAAATCCCTCAAACGGTGGTCGTCCCTCACTATTTGCAAAATGGGTAGATATGTACATTGATCCCTGATAACATTAATTTACGCAATCAATGAACTCTAATGTTTATTCCGGGACACCTGTGTTACTAATAATTTTATAAGTAACTGCGTTATCACAACGTCTCTTCCAATGCTAAGTGTGTTAGGAAAATCACTTAAAAACTGTCTGATTTGATCTTCGGCACTTATGTGATGGTTGCCGCCCTCACCTTGGCTGTTCTGGATTCCTAAAATGCTTGCAATACATCCCCAAATTTACTCAGCCGTTTTGCTACTAAATACTTTCCAATGAGGCGTAATCATTCGGCTATTATCTTTTCTGAGCATATTTTTACACATGATTTTTCCTTTAGATACGTCGGAAAAACAAACAGTGAGTATCATAGCTGAATTGACAACGGATATATTTGAGGGATATTCCTGCTGGATCGACGTGAATGATGTGTCTGTGATTGTGGAGTACTTCGTCTTTTGGTTAGGTACGTTTGCGCCTTAACTGCAGCAATGAAGGCATTAAAATCACTAGTTGCCTTACAGACAGTGGAAAGTGCAATCTCACATAATGCTCATATCCCACTCGTAACATGGAACGATACTTTTTTAATTGGATTTAACCGGTTCAGTTTCCTGATCACAGAGCACTTAAGATCAAAAGCAGAAGAGGCGTTCACCGGGAGAGGTTTATTGGAGGTCCGACGTTTCGAGTAGTTGATCGGCTACCATCTTCAGAGATAAGAATGCCCTGCGCACAGCTTCCCCTAGATGGCGCACCTTGTTCAATGCGTGACCCGCCAATGCCGCCTGTGTGGCTGCATCCAACCCGCATGTCACCGTCACCTGAATCGCCCCGGTCGGTCGCAGAGACGCCTGACGACCTCGATTGTGCCACACCGTGACTGTACCCCGTTAAGAAGGTTCGTAAAGTCAGATAGGGGGGAGGGGGAGGCAAATTGTTGTAGCGGTTGACAGAGCAGTCGGTGGACGTCCAGGCTTCTTGCATTTGCCGTACTGTATGATCACCGCCCCGGCCCACAATCACAACGGCGTCAAAGTTGAAGATGCGCCCCATTTGCGCGGCATGGGTTGCTACCTGCGACTTAGGGTCCAACCTTCGCACGGCCAACTTATGCTCGTGCATTCACGTTTGCAGCCGTCGGCCGGTTTACCCAGCGTAGTTGCACATTCCGCAGCTGCACTGAGGTCGGTAGACAACGGCCGACATCCCCTGCTTAGGGATCGGATCTTTTCGCCGCCTCACTTGCCGGAATTGTGTTTAGTCAGGCCCGTGGGCAACACCTATTCCGATAGGCGCGAGGGGTCTAGCCACAGCTTCGGGGACTCCTTTAATTTACAGAATGCTCTGCCACGAGTTTGACTGACTATGCTCTTCATTCCGTTTCGTTGGCTGCCTTCGGCCTTGTTGAACGAATTTTCGCGGATGGCGTTGGCTGTGAAGAGTTCTTGCAGGAGCTTTATCTCGTCCAGTTTGGCGGCTGGCGTGCTGCATTGAATTTCACCCGTCGGTATTGCGTGCGGACACAGCTTCGTTTGTGTTGCAGCGGTGGTTGCTGTTGTAGCTGAGCATTTGCAGCGTGTTCGTCGACTTTTTGTAGACCGATGTCGCCGGTTTGCTGTTTGGTTGGGGACAGCCGAGAACATCCAGTAATGAAAGTTTGTCCCCTCACTCCTCTTCCATCGTGAAGTGCGGATCGGGGATGATCGAGTTCAGTAGTTCCGCCCGGTAGTTGTTTTTATCCCGGTTGATAACTACAAAGGTGACATCAACGTAGCGTGCCCCAAACTTCGGTTCATACTCCTCAAATAGTCCTCTCTCGAGTTTTCGTAGAAACGCCCCAGCAATGAGCCCGGAGATTGGTGAACCCGTTGCAGTGCCCTTGACTTGCTCGCATGTGATCCCTTCGAAGATAAAGAATATCTTGAAGCAGTGTCCCATGAGTTCTATGAGATACTGAGCTGTGGGCTGGCCATCGCCCCCGTCGTAATTTTGACGTAGCAGGTCACTGACCGCTTCCATCCCAAGGGCCTGTGGTATGGACGTGAAGAGTGAGACGACGTTAAAAGACACCATTCTCTCATTCGGCGAAAAGATCTGATCCCTAAGCAGGAGATGTCGGCCGTTGTCTAGCGACCTCAGTACAGCTGCGGAATATGCAACTACGTTGGGGAAACCGGCCGACGGCTGCAAACGCGAATGCACGAATATAAGTTGGTCGTGCGAAGTTTGGGCCCTAAGTCGGAGGTAGCAACCCATGCCGCGCAAATGGGACGCATCTTCAACTTTGATGTCGTTGAGATTGGGGGCCGAGGCGGTGATCATACATTACGGCAAATGCAAGAAGCCTGGATGTCCACCGACTGTTCTGTCAATTGCCACATAAATTCGCCTCCCCCTTGTCTGACTTTACGAAACTTCCTAACAGGGAACAGTCATGGCGTGAGACAATCGTGGTCGTCAGGCCTCTCTGCGGCCGACGGGGGCGATTCAGGTCACGATGGCATGCGGGTTGGATGCAGCCACACAGGGGGCATTGGCGGATCACGCATTGAACAAAGTTTGCCATGAAGAAGGAGACACAATCGCTGGGAAAAGAGCCTTATTAGCCTGACTCTTAGGATTTCTTCTCGAACTCATCATCAGAGGCAACAGCAGATAGCTTTTGTCGCAGATGATGAGTTCGATCAGGAATCCGAAACGTCAGACTAATAAAGCTCTTGTCCCAGCGATCGGGTCTATTTCTTCAAGACTACTTACTGGGACTCTCCTTATTGCTTCTGTTGGCAAAGTGCGCCATTTAAGGGGAGCCATGCGCAGGAATTTCCAGTTTCTGAAGATGGTAGACAAATCAGCGACTCGAAACTTCGGACCTTTAGTTAACTCCTCCCGGTGATGGCTTTCCCTTCTTTTGATAAGTCAGTCGAGATTTGCATTTCCGCTACTACTGAAGTACTTAATATACTATTTATTTAAACCGGAATCTCTTTTCTCGACGATGTTTTCGTTCATAAACTAGACGCCGCAACATTTGAGAATACCGGCGAGCCGCTGAACCGTATTGTGGATCCGGATGTGGACAGCATCAAACTAGACTGGCACTTTGTCACCTCTACACCGGATCAGGTTGAAGTAAGCCGTTTTTCATTACGCAGCCGTTAACGAGCCCTTAATTACCGAAGCCTGCTATTGAAAGGATTTGCATATCTCACCCTAATTAAATTATTATCAGCCAAAACAAACTACTGCAAGGGCATAGTAACACGCCCGTGTCTTAGAAACGCAAGCCTCAAGTGGCGGAAGATTGTTTTTATTGGACAGCACTAAAGTCCAGCATGCAGTTATGCGTAATAGGAAAGATTCCGAGCTGATGATTTGTTATTGAGGGTTAGGTTTTAGATCAAAATCTTATTTTGGTTGTAAAACTAATCATCATACAAAATCATTCTATAATTTTTCAATTACCTCTGGATACCAGCCTTTGAATAAACTTCTTTCCGGCTACATTTAAAAACCATACTCCGTAAAAAATGACTACCGAATTAGCATGCATTTTTTCATTGATTTTCGATGCTTTGAAACATTAAATAATATTTCAGAAAAATATTCATTCTTTTGCTGATTCAGTAGGGTTCACGAACTACAAGCCGCATAATTTTCGCGTATGGATACCATGTATTTCTCTACTGTATTAAGAGGAGATTATATGGGGTTCATAAAGTTAAGTAGTGGATTTGAGTCACATTGCGAACTTTGCAAGCCACATTGGTAAATGCAGAGACAGGACGTTTTACGAGGTGCGATGTCACGGTATTAAAAATCGCACAATTAGGAACTTTATTAAAACTGAATTTTACCCGTCCCTCGAGTGTAAAATTGAAAGAAGACGTGAATTTCTACTGAATCAGCAAAAGAATGAATATTTTTATGTATGTTTTCTATGAAATATAATTAACTATGTAAGGGGCATCGACAATCAATGAAAACATGCATGCTAATTAAGTAGTCATTTTCTACGGCGAACGCTTTTTAAATGTAGCGGGAAAGAAGTTTATTTGAAATTCGGTATCCTGAGGTAACAGAATCAGTACAGAATTATGCTACATGATGATTGAGTTCACAACCCTATTCAATTAATCTTTCCGAAACGGAAACGCCTTTCGAAATTTCTGTTACAATTTCATGGGTTAACCCACTTATTGTATGTCCGTCCCTTCCTGCATGGAAACAGGAGTCTGAATTGTCCACAGATATCACATAAAGAACTAATGACTGCTGAACGTCTAGTGATAAATAGGCTCCGCGCTTGTTGCCGGAATAAAAAGGACAGCCAGTACCATTTTAAGAATCTCACTTTTACGACCAATGTAGGTTCATATCAGATCATCTTTTTATCATCAAAACACTATGCGCCTACTTTTTGATTGTCAGACTTTACGATATTTTTGCAGGGTTTTGAGTGTCAGAGTCCAAATGGAATTCATTGTTCTGGCAGCACAATAACAAATGAACCCGGGAAGTGTGGTGCGTGCCTATTTTACAGCATACGGTTAATATAACGTCTCCATTGCCATGTGACTATACAACAGTAACCTGTAAAACTTGATGCATTGATGTGCTTGTTTAGGCATATTCCTTGATATGCCTGTCCGAAACCCGGGGATTATTATATTTCAGGGGAAATAAATTGCCGTAGACTGCCATTCTACCCCTACTTTTTTGCATACATTACTGAAAAGTTCGCGTTATCTAACCAGTCTTAATACCGTTTCCTAAACAAGTCGCCTCCTCTTTATTTAATAGCTATTGAATATGGACGAACTTCGATTCAGTATTCAATTGAGCCCCTCTTATCTGGGGGCGAATTCGCAATTTATGCCTGTTATATTGGCCATTGGTCACAGCCGCAATCAGTATACAAACTGAGTAAGTTCTTCATCGTTTGTTCAGCTAAGCCGTCTTCTTCCGAAGCATGTTCACTCCGAGTCGTCGTTAACGAAATATTTCAATACACTTTTTTGCCGAACTGATACACCCACTGGTTGTTTTGGAGAAAAACATACAAATTCAACGTTTATGTACCACGTACTTGTAGGTAGATTACAAATTTCGCGCGAAACCACAGTGCGAAAATAGGTTGCGGCTAAAACTATCGGTATTTACAGCATGTGCTTGAAAACGTTGATAAGCGCGTTTGCTTCCAGAAACACTGCAGCGATATGGCTATTATTTACTGTTCATGCATGGTAGCGCAACACCGTTTAACGACAGTCACCGGTGTTTGACCATTGCAAGGCAACATTTCAGTAGTTAAACAGCATATCATGGCATCGTGGGAATGCGCAAGCTGGAAGAGCATAGGTGGCTCAGTTTTATCAATCCGTCAACCATGTGCAATCGCGTGGACGGCCTCCACTCATCCAAGGCCTCTAATGTGGCCCTAGATGATGGACGCCGACGCGAGAGCTCCCAAAGCAACAGTCAAGGTAGTTCGACTTACAGGACTGGCTTTACGGAAGGCCGAAGAAGCGAGTCGTCTCTTCAAGTGAGTATCATGCTTTGAGATCCCTAGCGCATGCGTCCCCCTTGGCTGTCTCCACTTGCAGTCATTCAGCAAAGCACGCAGTGTCGATTGATCTTGAGCATTTTTCGTGATTGTGCCTATTCGTGGAGGATTCAGGCAGCGAAGTCGCTGAAAGTATCTAAGCAAATCGCCTTAATAAGTGCTCATGGCGGCGACCACGGAGGCGGATCGCTACAAGGTAAGTTATTTCGACTGCAGACTAGATAAAACTTCAGAAAACTCTACGGTAATAATTTTGCCCAAGTTGGAAGGTGGCAGACACGGTCGCTTGACTCAGGCTCCTGTCCTCTCAGGGACTGATTCAGATAAGAAACAACAGAGTTTCCAAGCGTGATGTTTTGTGTTCGGAGAACGCTGAAGTCTGAAGCCCACGCAGTTGGCGGGATCGGAGTTCAAATTGATCAGATATGGATGAAATGCGATGATTTATTTTTAATCGGGATTTCAATACAGCATCGCAGATGAATGAGCGAGTGTGAGAAGTAATGTTTTGTTGATAATAAGCTGAAATACATGATTCGCGATAAAATGATTGTACTGACTAAGCACGTCCTGAGAATATTATTGAAAGCTGAGCTAGAATCTAAACGCTATTCTGACCTAGCTAATCGTCCGAACCAAATTGTGCATACAGCTTCTGTGTTTATTTCAAGGGCGCAAGTTGGGAGAACTTGAGCTATAACGTACTTCACCAGCCTGGTGATGTCTAGTTTGTATTTTACAAGAAGATGCTCGGACAACCATAGGCAATGGTGTAATCGGTCTCGTTTATTTTCCCAATCAGTGTCCTACCTGATGCTAATACGCACGCATGGAGCGTGTATAGAAACGTTACTGTGAATGAAGCTTATCATATTTCCATCGAAATACGATTATCGAAAGACATCTGAAGTAGTCTTTCAGTTTCTCTGACGTAGTTGCCTTGCCCGCAACTATATCAGATTCGATAAACGCCCCCAGACATTTTTAGGAATGGCAGTGGGCCTTGTGGATTCACTACCTGTCGCCCAATAGGTGCCTTCCGTCTGTGTGCAATTCCAAATCCAAGTGGTGCGAGAAGGCGGCTAATGACATCTGAGGCGTCCTTGGCGCAGAAAAGTGCTCACCGGAATTTAAGGTGAGTGCGATGTGGACTCTCGTCTCGTTCTCGTATACACTGTTTGACTAAGTCGTTGGGGTAGCCATTGTGTTCTTGCGTCCCTCGAGGCTATTTTAATTCAAGAACTCTGTCATGCGGATAAAGCCACTACGTCGGGTAAAGTGGAAGATTGCTCTAGACTCGACTAATCCAACAGGCGCCAGAGGTGAGGAAAAATGACGCCAGCCTCCCCCAGTTTCTACTGATTTGATGGGACCCAACCACGTATCAAAACTCGACGAAGCCGGAATTCTCACTATAGTTGCTATTCGCACATCAAACAAGGGTGATGAAAATGGGTAGCTTATGTAATCGAATGCCGGCCATAAGGCAACTATAGTGCCAAAGGCAACCGTCCTCGATAAAGGACAGTGTCGTCAATTTTGATAGCAACCGGTACTGTCTCGGACGTTGGGTTGGGGGATGAATCTGAAACGTCAGGCAAATAAAGTTCTTGTTCCGGCGATCCTGTTTACAACTTCTTAGCTGTTTCTGAGGATTTACTGGTATTGTCCTGAGTGTTTTTCATTCTGATGCGCATAACTGCTTTGACACATTTTTTTCTGTTTTAGGCTCCCAATATTACGACGGCCTACCCAATAGTGTCATTGAAATGAAAATCGCACTGTTGTTAAATGGAAAATCCCTATATCTGAATGACGAGCGGTCACATCGTCTACTGCTTCAGAATGTGCTTGCTGAAGATGTCATTTGCGAGAAGTCTGAAAACAAAATATCATGTCAGCTACTGCCAAATCATCTAAGAATACATTGGGTTATTTCAGTAGGTTCTTATATTTGCCTGAATTTCTTTAAGTCTCATGTACACCTTTTGACGTCTAAATAGTTCGCCATTTGCCCGATTACAGTAAAAAGAGGGTTGAATTTCCGTCGGCATACATTCTAAGAAAGGGGATCTTTTGATTTACGATTGTCAAAATTTATATGACTGAGGACGGGATTTCAGCTGACGTCCCTATTTTGGGCATATTGCCACACTTCAGTTTTAGTATTATGGTATTTATTGAAGGGATTCTTGAGTCTATATGAAAGATAAATATGTGGCTTCATTGCACGCCTCATATTTAGGTTGGAAGTTGAAATCTTCCGGACGAGTCTCTGCCTGTTCTACAATTAATAATTTTGCCAGCCAATTTAAATATCATATAATTTGTCTAACTTGCTTGTTGCCATACAAACTACTCTAAAATTCACTGTCAGTTCTACTGAAAAGGCTTCCCTGCATATTATCACCTGCGTTCACTAAAAGCAAGTTACAAATTAATTTAATAGAACGCGAAATCAAAAAATAACGTTGGCATTTATTAAAAATAAATACATCTCCGTAAAATAAAGCACAAAGCATGATACAACACAATCAAGTGTCGTTTTATAAAGGCGCAAGATTTGGCATCAGTAGCTGCGTTTTTTGGCCGAAGGAAACTTACGGGGACAGTTGAAAAACCCAGTTTTCGAGATGATCACTTACTGCTCTCTTAAAGGACAGTAGTGTATTGTGTTTTATACAAGCAACCATCTCAAGCACTTAGATCTCAATACCAGTACGGGCTATGATACGCTTTTTTTTACTAAATACACACCACTCAATCAATGTTAAATACAACATGAGCTGTATTGGGCGTGCATTTTGCAAAATCGACTTGCCTAGATTTGCGTGTAGTATCTGCGCAAATATGATGCCCTTCAGTTACATCGGAGGCATACTTGCATACAGGCGTTTGCTGTTTCACCTTCCATAACAAATTAGGCTTGCGGGGTGGCACAGGTAGGAAAAATGACGAGTCTGACATTATGAGCATTAGTATGGTGAAAGTTCTTACCCCTTCAATACGACAATTGGGACTACGTATTTTAGGGACCTTGTTCGACAAAAAAGTAGGTTTAAACTACTGATTACGTAGTCTGACCTTTTCTGTCTGGTCGTTCATTTTTGCTCTTGGAAATATGTAATAGAGATTTTCCCGCAATATAGACAGTAAACGACAAATCACGCTTATATTGAGGACGTTTTTTTAACTAACAGTAGGAATTACTGCAGCGCGTTATTAATTTAATAATGCATTGCATTACATTAAGTCGAATGGCGCTGATGCGATCATCAAGACAATTTTTCCTAGCGAAAAACTACGATTCAAAGGGATGTTTGGGAGATGCAACAAAATCCCTCTGTTTATTCAAATTGACGGAGACCAAAGAACGCCTAACGATGTGCACATTCTTCGCTATCATAAAGGTCGCCTCGATACTGGCGCCATTCTTCGTGATTTTCTACAGCGAGCCTTCACGAAGAGATGTGATACGCTCCGCGAATTTCAAGTCTAAAAGCAAACTGCCGCGGTGATAACGGACTGTGAGGAAACAGCTGAATAAACGGAAGAATTATCAAGCTTTTATCTCTCCATGCGAAGTCGTTTTATTGATTGTAAAAACTGCTATCTGGAAATTCTGCAATTATAACGTCCAATTTCATTTTTAAAGGCAATTTAATCAAATTTCCTACCAAATGATAAAATTAGATAAATAAGTCAAGTCCTTGTTTAATTTCCGAGGAAACTAATGCGCAAACGTAGAGTAACTCTTTCAAAACAGACCTATTCAGGTCCGGTCCGAAGTTTGATATGAATATTTGAGCTGAAATCCATCAGCGGCTGGTGAATAACCGCTTAAAATTTACAAACCGCCAACAGGCAGCCAGTAGTATATAATTGTGCAATGATTTACCGTACCAACAACACAGGTATTTGATAAAAGCCCAGACACGCAGGTTTCGCCGATCTTATGCCGCTGCTTGACGCAGCTGGGAGGGTTTCGGTTCGTCAATGGGTTCCCGAGCACAATTCTATACTACTGGCTGCCTGTTGGCGGTTTGTGAATATTAAGCGGTTATTTCGCAGTTGCTGATGGATTTCAGCTCAAATATTCATATCAGACTTTGGACCGTGCCTGAAAAGACCTGCATCAAAAGAGTTACTCCAAGTTCACACATTGGTTTTCTCAGAAATTAAATAAGACAAGTTAAAACTGGAGTTTGTACACTAGAAAACACATGGGAAAAGCTGGGGGACCCACTGACGAGCCGAAACCCTCGCAGCTGCACAGACAGCGGCATAAGATCGGCGAAACACGCGTGACTGAGCTCTAAGCTAATACCTGTGTTGTTAGTACGGTAAATTATTGCATAAGTTAAGTCCGCCAAACACACGCTTTCGATTATTCATCAGTAGACCATTACAGTAATATAGAGAAGGGTAGGGCAGCAAAAATTAAACAACCAACAAAGTACAGTGAGTGGCCGATCTCATGAAGTGTTGGCTGACATTCTGAAATGAGTTTTAAATTAGGAAGGATTACTTAGGCGCAGTTGTTATAATGATTATCATGCGGTATATTCCTATAATATATCGGACTTGGCAGGATGCCAGCTCTTGAATACACAGGTTTTCAGTCGCCTGTAGAGACCGTACTTGGTAAAAATGACTACTTGATTAACATACATGTTTCCAGAAGCGATCGCCGGAACAATGGCTTTATTTGCCTGACGTTTCGGATTCTCTCTTGAATCCATCATCAGAGACAGTTGCAGAAAAGGGTGGCTCGTGTACAGGAAGTCGCAGTATTTATAGGATGCGGTCGCCATGCTACCGCATACCTACAGCAATTAACCGTGCTCCCTTCATCAAGGATTGTTGCCCGCTGGTGCGCTAATTGCTTGATGGCCGGCATGCAAGTTGTTAATTGCTAACATCTCATCACCCGTGTTGGATGCTGGCGTGACGATTGCTCGGCCATCTGGCTCACCGGCTTGCGCGCTCCTCGAGTGGCCAATTGCTTTGGCCAGTCTATGCCTCAGCACAGAATATGGAGTGGGAATGTCGTTGAACTTGTTGATAGACTGAGGCCCCGTGAACCATGACTCAAGAAACTCGCGGCTCACGCGATTATCCCCTCTCGCGAGAATTTCGGCCTCATCGAACTTGAATGTGTGGCCGGGTCTCGTCGAATGGGCCGCGACCTGAGAGTTGGCGTCATTTCTCCGTACAGCTGCCACGTGTTCGGCGATTCGCGTCCGGAGCAGTCTTCCAGTTTCTCCGACGTAGTTGCTTTGTCCGCAACCGCACCAGATCCGGTAAACGACTCCAGATGTTTCTTGCCGTGGCAGTGGGTCTTTTGGTCTCATCACTTGACGCCTCATGGTGGCCTCCGGTCTGTGCGCAACTCCAACCCCAAGTGGTGCAAGAAGGCGACTAACGGCCTCGGAGACGTTCTTGATGTACGGGATCGCTCGCCAGAATTTGGGGTCGGCGCGATTTTGTCGCTCGTCTCGTTTGCGCAGGCACCGGTTGACGAAGTTGCGCGGGTAACCATTTTCTCGAAAAACCCGTCGAAGATATTGGGATTCGGCAACCTTGTCTTCCGGTTCACTGCAGTGCGTCTCAACACGCCGAAATAGCGTTCCTACGCAACTGTGTTTGTGGCAGATTGGGTGGTTACTGTTGAAGTTCAGAATTTGCGTCGTGTTCGTTGCTTTTATGAACACTTTGGTCTTTGGGCCACCACAATCTTTGCGACAGACGAGGACATCAAGGAATGCCAGCTGGTTATTCTCTTCCTCCTCCATCGTAAATTGTATGTCCGGGAAGACGCTGTTGAGACGTTCTTTGAATGTTAGCACCTGGTCCCGTTCGATGACGACGAAGGTATCGTCCACATACCGAGCCCAGAATTCCGGTCTGTGGTGTTGGAAGACCAGCCACTCCAACCGCTGTAGGACCGCCTCGGCGATGAATCCCGAAGTCGGCGAGCCCATTGGCGTTCCCTTCACTTGCTCGTAGATTGTTCCGTCAAACGTGAAGTACGTCTTGAGACAGAACTTTAGGAGCTGAAGGACTTGGGCGTGTCCGAGACGATTCTCCGTTTCATCGTATTTGTTTCGTAGGAGTAGCTGGACGGTCTCGATTGCTAGATCCTGGGGGATAGAAGTAATAAGGGACGTGACATCAAAAGATACCATGACCTCATTTGGCAAGAGACTTACTCCTTTAAGCTTCTCCAGGAATTGCGTTGACGAACAGACAGTGGTGTCCGAATCCGCGGTCAGAAATTTGAGTCGCCGAAACAGCCATATTGCCAGTCCGTACGTTGGAGTGCCTTGGAGCGATATAATGGGCCGGAGAGGAGCGTCCTCCTTGTGCACATTTGGGAGACCATAGAATCGGGCCAAGGCCGTTTCTTGGGCCCTCGCCATGCGTCGGTCGGTCGGTGTTATAGCATCCGAGTTATGCAGTGCCAACAGTGTTGCATTAATTTCGCGTGTCAGCGTTTTTACGGGGTTGGTTTCACATGGGACATAGAACTGGCGATCCTCCAGTAGGTGTTTGGCCTTCTGAAGGTAGTCTGTTCTGTCCAGTACGATGGTGGAACTCCCCTTGTCCGGGGGCACAATGACAATGTCCTTGTCGGCCTTAAGTTCTCTTAGTGCATCGCGTTGGACCTTTGTGAGTTTTCGCGCGGCTTGTGAGTCCTAAGGAGGGACGAAACTTGGTGTCGGATAAGGTTCTTCATCTCCTCCGCCGCTTCCGTCAGATTAATGACCGATTCCACTGCTGCAATCATGTTGATAGGTTTGGCGTCAGCTGTGTTGAATGAGGCTTCGTGCCGTAAAACCTGTACTTGCTCCTTCGTCAGTTCCTTTAACGACAGGTTGTGTACCAGTGTGCCGCCTCTGGATGACGTTGGATCAGGCAGTTTGTGGAATTTGTTCCCCAGTTCTGCATCGCGTGTCGCTCTCTGCTCGCGGGCTCGTTCAGTCACTTTCTGCTGAAGCAGATTTGTGCCGTTCTCGCCCATAAACTCGCAGCATCTGGCCTTCTCTTGGTCAATTCTCTGACGGTATTTGCGAAGTCTCGCATGGCAATCTTGAAGGAGCACGCGCATCATACGTCTTCCGTGCTGAAATACTGCGCGTCTCGCTAGCTCCGTGTTTACCGGAGGTTTGCATGAAACACACTTCGGCAACACGTTGTTATCGAGACACCTGTGCAGAAACCGGATCTGCGCGTAAGTAGAAGGGCGAAAGTTTCCCATCGTCGGGCCGATCGGAGCGCGTCGCGCCTAAACAAATTGCCGATACGCACACAGTTGCGCACAGACCGGAGGCCACCATGAGGCGTCAAGTGATGAGACCAAAAGACCCACTGCCACGGCAAGAAACATCTGGAGTCGTTTACCGGATCTGGTGCGGTTGCGGACAAAGCAACTACGTCGGAGAAACTGGAAGACTGCTCCGGACGCGAGTCGCCGAACACGTGGCAGCTAGACGGAGAAATGACGCCAACTCTCAGGTCGCGGCCCATTCGAAGAGACCCGGCCACACATTCAAGTTCGATGAGGCCGAAATTCTCGCGAGAGGGGATAATCGCGTGAGCCGCGAGTTGCTTGAGTCATGGTTCACGGGGCCTCAGTCTATCAACAAGTGCAACCACATTCCCACTCCATATTCTGGTGACGCGATGATTACTCGGCCATTTGGCCCGCTGTCAGCGGGGTAGTTGAGCGTCCGCGCCCTTCCCACGTGACTGCTTACCCTGCTCAGAAGAAGATGTGATCACTAATACAAGAGGTTTATTGACCTGACGTCTCAGATTATCCCTTATATTTTCCAGTTTTAAGAGGCTGAAATCCTCGAAAGAGCTGACAACCGCGTCAGAAAATCTGGGATGAAGGGGGACATACGAAACTGCGCAGAGGACGTCTTGACCGGCCGATCGCAGTAGGTGTGTACTGGCAGTGAAAAATTAACGCTCGCGCCAGTTTTGAGTGAATTAATCCAGGGCTTGGCGCTCGGACCAGCACTGTTTTTAATTTATGACAATGACCGTATAAATGGACTGGACTGGAAAGGAATCATGCTTGCGGATGACAGCAAATTTTGGCGAACGATCAACCGTATGAATGACGAACGGATCCTGAAAAAAAGAGTTATCGGCCTATGTCAGTGGTCCGATAAATGACTGCTTAATTTTAACTATGGGAATTGTGTCGCACTGCAAATCAAACCGAAGACAAAGTGGACAAATGGAGAGGACCATTGATACTTTCTTGAAGAGAGATATCTTTCAAATCTTGATGAACAAAAAATACCTTGGAATCAGCATTCTGCCATTTCTGAGGCCCTCCCCTCAGTGGGTTTGGGCGGCCAAAAGAGCAACCAGTGTTCTCATCGTCATTAATAGTGCTTTCATAGGCATAGATAAGGAGCAATTTGGAAAAGTATGCCTAGCCTTTATTCGCTCTTCAGGGGAGCATGGGATGCAAGCATAGCGTCCTTGGCTAAAAAAGACCATAAATTGCTGGAAAGGGTCAAATGGACGGCGGCCAAAATTATCTAATGCTGCAGGACATTATTTTTACCATGCAGAATTAATGAACGTAACCTAGAGCCATTTGAGCACAGGACGATCCGAGGAGATCTCTTGTAGACTTACTGAATTTTGAGAAACCTGTAGTGTGTCCTGCATTTCGACGCTTTTTTCGCATTGGTTGGAAAAACAAACCTGCGCGGAAATTCCCTCGAAACTTCGACGGGCCCTATCTCACCTGGATGTTCGCATGCGCTCGTTTTTACAGCTCGTTTGGAACGGAGTTACCTAGAAAGTGATAGTGGCGGGCACAACAGAAACATTTAAGCAAAGACTCGATGGACAGTGTATGACCGATGTCATGAAATTTTAACTGACATTCTATAATGCGTTTTTGATTAAGAGGGATTACTTAGGCGAGGTTGTAATGGTGATGATCATGCAGTATATTCCTATAATATTTCGGAGCCGACAGGATGTCTGCTTTTGAATTTACTTCTTTTCAATCTCCCTTAGAAACCTTATTCGGTAAAAAATGACTACTTAAGTAACATGCACTTTTCAAATTGATCTCCGATGGTCTTATGAAATCAAATATATTTTATAAAAAACATGGAAATAATATCGTTTCTTTTACTGGTTTAATAGAAAATGCCATCTTTATATTTCATACTCGAAAAAGAAGCATAATTAGGTTTGAATAAACTTTTTAATAATGACGTTTTTTAAGACCGCGCAATGTCCATTCACAAGCATTGTACCTCTCCGTTCACAATCGCTTCTCATGAAGCGTACAACATAGTCCGCATCCATCGAAAGATTTGATGGACTCTATATAGTATCCTTTTAACGACATAGAAGATTAAATGATTTTTCATGTGTGGAACGCATGCATCTTGCAGACTGAAATCACTAAGCGACAATGCAATGGCTAATCAGGCTGCAAATTATTTGGGTGTTGGAAAACTTTTTTGGAACCTAATTATAATCCTTCTTCGAGTATAAAATATGAAGACGACGTAC